TGGCAGGTGGGGAGGAGGGGCTCTTGCACGACTCCCATTGTAACCCGCAGACTCCCTGGGTCCCAAAGACTCCTGAGAGGAAGCGAATGCTAAACCAAGAAGCCAACCACTCTTTAGCTACTGTGCACAGGCCACCATGCTCCCAAACCCCTGCTGGGTGTGTGTGTGTGTGTGTGTGTACACACACAAACGCATTCTAGATGCCTGTGTTCTCTGCGTGTCCGATGCCTGGAGGGAGGGAGGGAAAAGAGAGAGAGAGAGAGAGAGAGAGAGTGAGAGACAGAATGTGTGTGCACGCACGCATTCACACAACACCTGGATTCTGCATGTGTGTGTGTCTGATGCCCAGGTTTTGTGTGTGTGCGTTTCTGATGCATGAGATGAGCTCTGGCCTAGGTCAGACCACTGCCCCTGGAGCGGTAGTGAATGGGGTACCCCAGTGTTCCACAGAATGTCAGCAGAATGCAACCTCCCATGAGTCGTGATGAGATTGGTACAGATGTTCATTACAGAGCTCTAACCTACAGCACTAAAGTCTAATCCTGCATTTGCCACTTTAAAAATGGAACTGCCATTTCAAAATGGATCCACCATTTTTACAGCACTCTATGCGTTTCAACCGTCTGTTTGGTTACGGTTGTAGAGCACTTTTTCTGCATGTAACCACACAATAAGTGTAACTTCTATACTTGGCCTCCAAGAACAACTCAGGCTGGTTTTTAGTTATGGGTTGGAGAGATAATAGAAATGTCCATATTTCTCATTTGAACCTGAGGTTATATCAGCGCAAAGTTCATGGCATATGAACTGGTCCCCAGTATGCTAGATCCATGAAATTCATTGTGCTGAGAAAGGAAACGTTAAGATAAACAGGGAAAACACATACCCAGGTATGCATATCTGGTATAATAAGATTTCCTAGCAGTGAATGTTAAGAGAGAGCGAGAATCAGAATTAGGATACAATTAAACACAGATACTAATTTCAGTCTCCTTCACTGAAAACCGGCAGAATTGAACAGCTCTCTTCTAAAGAAAACATCAGTCAAACTCAACATGAAAAAGTAACTGTGTACATGAACTGACTTCTGTGATTATATAGCAAATCTTCCCCCAAAAGAAATGTGATTTTTTAGCTATCCCATGAAGCTGTTCATGTCCTCAGGAAGTCAGTTTTGACATTAGGAACACACACACACTTTTGTCTTATGGACTCTTATAAAGCCACCTTACACAAATGCAAAATGTAGGCTTGACACTTAGTAAAGAAGGGAGAGATGCTATAAAGTTGAATGTTATTGTTGAGGGCTGTCCAATGGATCATATCACCCACCAGAAGACAGGATACTCCACTGCTGTGAATTCTTCTAGCAGAGGAGATAGGAAGTAAGAAAAACTGTAGTGAGAAGAAAATATGTAGACACTTCCTTCAAGGGCTTCAGGACATTTTCTGTCAATATAATAATTCATGGCCTCTGAACATAGCTACAAATGTAAGGTAGTAAGAGCGAAAGAGAAATTCTTGAGAACAACAAAAAATCCTCCTATTGCCAGAACCTACACTGGAAAAGATTGTTGACCCAAGATAAAGCATATGATCAATAAATAACAGCGATGATTGTCTCTTTTACAGACAATGATAAAATCTTGTTGATGGGTACCTAAATAAATTTGGGTATCTCTGTTTTGGACTAGATTCTTTTCTCAGAACCTCCTGGAAATATACCAAGTCTAGCACTATTCTCTTCCTGCCAGGTTTATTTATGAGCATGAACAGGATACAGTAAAAGCTTTACTCTGCATCAGGTGACAGACCAGACCTTAAGGCTGTTCCCATTCTTTCCTGCCTTAAAAGTTCAACAAAAATGGCATAAATCTTAGCCCCAGAACTTTGATTTGGCCCATGAAGCATCTCCCTTGAATTCTCTCCAAAACCTCTAAGGAAAAGACACACCAAGTATATGTAAGCTGAAAATGACAGCTGAATATTTATATATAATTATATGCTTCATACTACAGAGGAAGAGAGAAACTCCCCAACAGTCCTTGCCAACCTAACCTAGGGGAGAATTCCTTCTTGATCCCAAATCTAGCAATTGGTTTCTGAACACATAGGCTAGGGATAGACATTCAAAAACCCTGAGCCTGAATTGATTCAATCTTTGCAGGTTAGTCTAGCCTGCCTAGGTTGAACTGATTTGGAAGTGTACTGAAATTCCCTCAGGACTGCACATGCCTGCAGTAGCTCAGGCTAGAAGCCGCAGGGGAGGGGGAGGGGTGGCTACAGCAGCCCTCCCTTCCCTTCCATAGTGCTGAGCTGAAGGAGGGCATGGCCAGGCCCCCAGCAGGATGCTTTGATTAGTCAGGGGTTTCAACCCCGACCCTGCCTGCAGTCCCAGGCTTTTCCCTGCTCACTGCTCAAGGGGCGGGAGTGTTGGCAGACCTAAGCCCCCAGCTAGCTC